TGCGTATGTACAGATGGTCCGAAGGCTTTGTCACCTTTACATAATATAATTTTATTTTTATTTTTCAGATGGCTGACAGGAGCTCCTACTGTTTGAAAGAGAGGTATGGGGTGACAAGACTTTCAGACCACCCTTGTAAATTTTAGTTTTATGTAAACTTAGTATAATAAATAAATTTGTTTGAAGGCATTAATATATATATATATATATATGTGTGTGTGTGTGTGTGTGTGTATTATAGCGTAAATGACGTAATGTAATCTGCGTTAGAGAGATATGTTTTTAGTTAGATTTTAGAAAAATTCGCGCTCACTCCGATAAACAAGCCAAAAATAGATTTTTTTTTAATTGTAAAAAATTCCTTTTAAGTACCTCGAATTATCATCTGCACTCATGAAATGTGAATAACTCCCTGATTTTTGCTAATTTTTCATTCTGGGTGTTGGAGCTGTTACGAGGCAAGCGAAACAAACTTTGATTTTTTAAATTTATTATTTCTTGGGGTGAATTAATTTGCGTTAAATAAATAACTTTTATTATTTGGGGTGAATTAACAGAAAAGATCCTTGTTTCGTTGTAATTCTGAAATTTTTCTTTGGAAAAAATTATGCAGAAAAAATAAGACATATTTTTACTTTTTAAATTAATAAAAATTTAAATCAACATTATTAAATAATATTTACGTTTAACTACTGAATTAAGTATACGATACGCATAGAATGTGATAAAGCATATTCTGATAAACCTTCTTACAAATTTTCAAATAATTATAACTTTTAAGTTAATATTAATTTAAAAATAGATACCACAACAAATGGATGCTATTTTTTCCGAAATGAAAGCAAAAAAGATCTCTAACCGTTTTAAAATATTTGCCCAATATCAGGTAATTATCCGATTCAAACGGAATTTTCAGTACTTATTCAGTAATGAATTAATTTTATTTTGAATAGGTTATTCTATTAGAAAACTTTGTGGAAATATTTTTGTGGGGTCTGCTTCATCCCTCACTTTTTGATATCTCGTGTTTATTTTAGTGGGGGTTCGTCACTTTTTTTTTTTCTTTTAGTCTCTCTGAAGATGTTAATTCAGTAAAAAACATTATACAATATCAGGTGTGAACATACGGAAAATTCGTCCCGAATCTTACAAAAGATAATTGAATTCAATAAAACTCAAATATTTTTTGTGAGAGTTGGCATGAATGAAACACATTATTTTCTTTCAGATTGGACAGAAAAATAAAAATATCTACACTAATTTTTTCAGTGCCATTATGAATTTTATCCCTATGTTGTTCGTCAGAAGACCTTATTTTTATTGAATAAAGACACAGTTAAAGAATAATGTAAATTTTAATGCCATTTTCGAGTGTGAAGCGTTTTTAAAAGAATTTTTCCCCTTTTAGAAACAGTTAAATTATTGTTGGTATGGGTATTAAAATAGGAAATAATTCTAAATTAACGCCTTGGACTACTTTTCCCTATCGGAAGAACAATATGAAATATGGAAATTCAACAATTCTTAAGTTCAGATTAATTAAAAAAGACACACACATACACAGTGGTTGCAATTTTAGATATTTCATGACGTCAAACAGGTACGAAAATAAAAAAATAAAATCAATGTATTAAACTCAAAAGTACCATTTCATTGAAAAAAGGTACTTCTAGTGTTGTATAAAAATAATTTTACCAACTATCATAAAATCGTATAGAATAAAAAGAAAACATTCTTAAATTATTTATGTGTGGTTAAAGATTTATTTTTAAAACAAATACCAACCAATGTCTTGATTATTATACTATTGGTATTTCGTATTTTCTTAATTTTCATTTTTTATTTAAATGACTTTGAAACATATCTTTCGAATAAACATTGGATTTTTAAATTTGTTCTTATATTTTTTGACAGGGAGATCAATTTACATTTTCATAATGAATTTAATTACAAACAACAAAAACTGAACTCCCTCCTAAAATGTAGAAAATTATTTTGTTTTGCACGCAAAATCAGTTCAATTCGTGATTTAGAGTGCTTATTTGATAGTAATAGCAAAACATAGTAATTATTTCTTTGAAAGGTTTGTTTCTGTAGAAACGCTTAAATTAATATTATTATTTGTTATATTTCTAATCAATAACAATTACGCAGCAAAGCTAGTGATAATTATTAATGCAGGGGAAGATATTTTTGTAATTTCGATAGAGTTACTTCCCCTTGTACAATTTCGTTTGTCATGCCATTTAGCGAAGTGATTAAGAAATTAAATTATTTTTTCAGAAATAAGTTTCTTTCGGTTTCTTTTTTTTATTTTACTTATTAAATCTAATCTATTCAAAATGAGAAAATTAATTCCTAAACTTCTTAAATTCGTTCTAATCTGGACATTATAAACGAGGCTCTTTCTTAAGAAATGATGTTAAAATCTAATTAAACTTTAGTTGTTTTCTAAATCTGATCCATTTATTTTGGCTTAATATTAGTAAAAAAGAACATGATTGTTTAAAAAGAGAAAAACATACAAAATAGACAATTTAAGTAATTCTATACAAGAGCATGCATTTGTAAGCTTTTAGAGAATGTAGATTATCCCACTTAGCTTTGCCAAAATGCCTGTTAGGAGGAATTCTTTAAGTCTATAAAAAGGCAATCATATTCTCTCTCTCTTCCACTTTTTAACTCTTGCTTCCAGATGTAGATAAAGAATGCTGCCAACAGGGCATGTTAAATGTCACAATGTAACGGTTACTGAATAAAAAAGTTCATATAATTGATTCATTTCAGTAAAAGTTTGAATTTTGACAAGTATGCTGATAATAATTTCATCCCAATTTTCTATTTACTGTTGTGTAAAAGATTAAATTTTATAATAATTGTATTATAATGTATACACACCTTTAAAATATTTTTAAACAGTAATGTTAATGTTTTTAAGTTTCATTAAAATGTATTGTGTTTTTATAAGAACTTGATAGGTTTTAAGTAAATAATTTTTCATTAAGTAAACTGAAGTTTATACTACTTTTTACAATATTATCTAGGTGTGCAGATAGATACAAACAGACTGAGATAGATAGATAGATAGATAGATAGATAGATAGATAGATAGATAGATAGATAGATAGATGGAAATTGACTAAGAGAGATATAAGACTAATTGATAAGAAAACTAAACAGATAGATATGAACTGAATAAAATAAATATACAGAGATCGACAGAAAGAGATTTGATTAGAGTGATTAATGAAAAGAACTGAACAGGTAAGTAGAAAAAGAATACAATAGAAAGATATGAACAGTTGGAAAGAAAATTAACCAGATAATGAATATAAATAATGAGTAGATAGATAGATAGATAGATAGATATGACTAGACTTTGATTGATAGAAAAATAATGAATAGGTAGATAGATAGATAGATAGATAGATATGACTAGACTTTGATTGATAGAAAAATAATGAATAGGTAGATAGAAAGAAATTGACTAAAAGAGATAGATATAAGACTGATTGATAAGAACTAGATAGATATGAACAAACTGAAACAGATATGAACAGAATGAATAGATACAAATACATAGATATGAATAGATTGAAATAGGTTAGATAAGTGATATGTCCCGGAAAGGGATATATTTGTTTGAAGTAGCAAGTGGTTTTGGACTAATGTAACTGAGGAGGACAAACTAGCAGGTAAACATAATGGACTGGTCCTCGTCTAAGTGGTAGGCAATATGTGTAGCCAATAAGCAAAGTCCTGTACCTCCACATCAGTCTGTATTTATGGCTGACACCAGCCAATCATATTACTGTGAAGAGGAATGCATGCATATTCATTACATTAGTTAGTTTGGTTAATTTAATAATACACAACCCTTGTTGCACTATTCAATTTCCAACATAAGCGGTTGAGTTTATACCCGAGTCTACATGCCAACATTGGCCAGGTTTAAATTTGAGTCCATAGGCTGATATTTCTAAGGTTAATGCTTGAACTTATTATTTGTTTATATGCTTATGTCTATGCTCAGGCACTGGTCAGGATTATGTTTAATCCAAAATGCAAACATTCATAAAGTGTATGCCTGAATCTTTACACAGTCAGATTCATTCCTAGAATCCCAAAACCTTATGGTCATCGTAAAACCCATGATGCAGAAATTCTGATGCATCCTTTTTAAATCATGTATTGGTGATTCTCATTGCAGACACACACACATATATATTCCTGATAAATCCAAATTCATAAATAATTATATTGGATATACTACAACATGGCTAATAAGAAAACTCATGTTATATCTCTCTGTCCATAGCTCAATTAGGTCTGATTTAAATACACATAGAGACTTACCAAATTCTATCTGCAACAAACTCATTAATACTAATATAGTAGCCCCATCCACATACAATAATGGCTAAAAATAATGCAAGCATTATTAATAAAAAAAGAAAAAGCCAACATTCAATAATATTAACTATGAACACAGCCACAATGTGCTGACCATGTTTGGAAAATAAAAAATTCTTATAACTATAGATACATACATAAAACAATCCATACATTCAGTTAAAAGTAAAATAAAATTCATCTTTGATAATGGCTAAAAGAATAGTTGAAAGCACACAGACATACAAAACATTTGGACAATTTTTATATAACAGAAAAGAAGAAAATTAAAGGAAGACGAGGAGAATTAAATAAAAACTTAACTGCAGTACCTTATCAGTTGTTTTAATGAAATATATATATATATATATATATGTGTGTGTGTGTATGGGTGTGTGCCTATATATATATATATATATATATATATATATATATATATATATGTGTGTGTGTATATATGTGCCTATATATATATATATATATATATATATATATATATGTGTGTGTGAGATGTGCCTATATATATATATATATATATATATATATATAGAGAGAGAGAGAGAGAGAGAGAGAGTGTGTGTGTGTGTAGGCATGGAATCAACAGGGCTTATGCCCATATCACATTGAAACACTAGTTCTGGTATGATCACTGAAGTTAAGCAATGTCAAACCTCTTCAGTACTTAGATGGGTGACCCCTTGGGAATGTCAGGTGCTGTAAGTTTGGATGTGTGGGTGGGGTAATGGATAAAGGCTTGGAATTGGAAATCAGACAGCTGAATTCCCATATCAGTTAGGTTTTTATAATTACTTATGTGCAAATTACCTGAGTGAAAGGTGTGACTCCACCAATTCTTCCCCCTCCTCCAGATATGGGTTAATTAGTAGCAGTTGTATTAATAGGTCAATATTATCTCAAAAACAATTAGTAAGCTGTAAAAAACAAATCGATCGGTCAATCACCAGTTTCAGGGTGGGTTGCCAATACTTAATATAATAGGGTGCATCAGAATGTCTATTTTGTTGGTTTTAGGCTGACCATAAAGTTTAGCTTTTCAAGGTGATAATTTAAATTTTATTGAGCAATTAGAAAATTAATTAATAATGAAAACAAATTATGCTATAAACTAATAGAATATCACCACATAATCTCCAAACTTTATGGTCTACCTAAAACCCACCAAGGGCTGTATGGCATATATTGTTAGTGGTAATCCCTTTGCAGCAAAGCAGCCGACCCTGCTGTACTCAGTTAAATTATTGGGATGCGGAACTGTACTAATCCACAGCTTACATACAACTCTCACACAAGAAGTCACATGAGCACTGTGACGGCCACACCCCAATCAATGGCATCAACCTGCTGGCTAAAGGGTCTCCCAATCTAACTGGTGAAGGGAAATGACTCTCCCCAGCTCATCTGTGCCAATGGGCCAGTCCTGACCATAAGAGCTGTGCCTCAGAGGTCAATGGCTTTACCAGTGAGCAAAGGAACTTTTGAGAGGAGTGCCAGGGTGACCTCAATATCTCCAGTGCAAAAGAAACTAGCAAGCCATTGCACTATTTTGCTTTGAATGTCACGATAAACCACAATTACAACAGAAATGGGAGAGTGGTGACCACAGCAGTGCAAAATGTGCTGACTGAATAAATGAATGAAAACCCACTAAACAGTCATGCTCATTATATCAGGCATTGGTAATACACACACACAAACACACCAGATATTACAGCAAAATTGTTTATGCCACAAAATATTTAATATCTAAAAAAACACTAAATTAATTGAGTTACTTTTTTCCAGGTTTTTCAGATAAAACGTTTAGCCATCTTGAAACCATTTGTCATAAGAATCACTGAAAAACCCTTTGAGTTATTCAACTAGAAAGAGAACATGTTAAAATCATTTTGTGTCAGTCCCACTATGTCTTTCCAACTGAGCAATGGTGAGAGGAAAAAATTATTCAGGCTTTCAGTAATGGTACTAACATTCATACTCTGTATTCCATCTTCAAGGTCCATTCAAAAACCATCGAGAGTTTAAAAAAGAGAGAACAGTAGAGAGGAAAACTGGATCAGGAAGTCACAACAGCAAGAGGGATCATCATTTCAACTTAGAGCTAAATACATTCTTATTCTTCAAAATAGAGTCCAACAGTGCTATAAAAACCTAGGAGAATTCCAGTAAGATATCTTTAATCATTTCTAAGATACAACAGTTCAAAGCTTAATCTAACAATTGGACAATTTTGCTGTTACACATTTTTGACAATTTTGCTGTTACAACTGGTGTATATATATATATATATATATATATATATATATATATATATATATATATATATATATATATATATAAACTTGAGGATATATTCATATACATATAATAGTAAAGAGTTAAAACCCTTTACAACCTAACTGTGGCAAATAACTAGCCCAAATCTATCAAAATCTCTTTGGTAATATAACACAGGTGAAAAAAAATTCCCCAGTAAAGAAAGTGCTACTTCATTTTTTATTTCCTATCTTGTTAAGAATGGACACATGTGTCTCTAAAAATTGCAATTTTTAAAATCTTTCTCCTCATGCTTCCAAACAACTAACTACATGACTTTCTTTTCAAAGTAATCCTCCTTGAGTTTAATGCACTTTTCCATCCTTGTCTGCCATGCTTCTATACACTGCTGTATGGATTCTTCTTGGATGCCCATCAGCTCCGTCGTTATGGCCCTCTGGGTGGCCTCCACGCCTTCAAAACAGGTCACACTGATGATCCCCTTGAGCTTGGGGAAAAGAAAAAAGTTATATGGTGTAAGATCAGGTGAATAGGAAGGTAGTTCCAGTATGGCAAGTTTCTTCTTGGCCAAGAGCTATTGGATGCTCAGGGTTTGTGAGCAAGTGCATTGTTGTGCTGAAACAGCCATGTTTTGCCTTGCCAAAAAAGCATGTGAAAAAAAAGTGCAATGGTTGCAGAAAGCTAAGATAACAGTTATATGTTCCCAAGATATCATATTAGATATCCCATTTTCACCAATAGTCACACAGCACGTTCAGTCCTGTTATTTTTCAGGTAGAACTCATATATATATATATATATATATATATATATATATATATATATATAGCGGCTTGGATTGAGGTATCGGAGAGCCGATTTAGAATTCCAGTCGAATCCATTACATTCACTATTACCCTTGGGAAAGGTGTGAATCCTCTTCTTCTCCCTCTAGCTATGGATAACTAGCAGGACAAACAGGGTTCTATAGCCTTGGATGGCAACTGGTCTAGGAGAAGGACAACTCTGAATTCAAAACCTGCGGAGGGTCGATTGAGGACCTTGTGGCACTTAGTGCACCAGGTCACTGTATTTGGCACTTCAAAAAGTGTGGATGATCCTGCATGAAACCTTCACCATATAATCAAATCTCATGTGCTGTTGTCAGGTTGTCGGTTTCCTGCGAACTGATTTGCTTGACCCTCATACGTCAAATATTGACAGGAGAGTCGAGTATATATATATATATATATATATATTGTTTATTTAGGCAGCAATCCTTCATTTATACATGTTTCATTAAAGATGACAGACAATTTTTTTCTTGTGTTCAAACAATTTTTTTCTTTTCTGGACACAGTGTGTAGAAACTGCAAATATTTTGTAATTCTGAGCACTTTTGGCTATACATTTAGCCATTATCAAGGATAATTTTATTTTTACATTTGAACTGGATGTAAGTGTCGTGTGTATGTAACTAGAGTTATAGGGATGTTTTATTTTCCAAACACAGTCAGCACATTGTGGCCGTGTTCATAATTAATGTTACTAAGTGTTGGCTTTTTCTTTTTTTTATTAGGGATTCCATTATTTTTAATCTTTTTTTACATGTGGATGAGGTTATTATGCTTGTATTTTCTACTAGTATGTTTTGGATGTAGTCTAGTAAGTTTGTGTGTATGTTTAAATGTGTTCCGGTGGAGCTGTGGTCTGATAGGTAAGTCATCTGGTAGGCATGTAGTTGTGTGACCAATGTAATTATTTGGACAGTTTCTATGTGTCCAGAAAAGAAAATACTTATTCGAACACACAAGAAAAATTAAATAAAAAGTTTAAATGCAGTACTTGCCTGTCATGTTTGATGAAACATGTACATATATATATATATATATATATATATATATATATATATATATATATATATATGCTTCTGAGATGAGGTATTATGTATATTATTTACATTATTCAGACTATTGTCCTCATCTTTGTTGCCATATTTATTACTAGAACAGTCTAACCCAGTGAGTGAAATAAAGGGTTCAGTTCGACATTTCAACCACCTGAAGAAGGCTGGAGTGTATAACAGCCGAAATGTTGTAATAAATATGGTGATAAAAATGAGGACAATAGTCCGAATAATGTAAATAATATATATATATATATATATGGTGAATGCCAGTTTCAAACTTCTGTGCAATCTTCAGCCCAAGTGTTACTACTCTTTTAGTGGGCTGTATATATAGCAGGTTGTGCTTGTGCGTTCCATCCATATACTTAAGAATGGCCTCAATTGGAAATCATCTGAGTGGACTGGGTTAATCAATTTGATGGTATTTCTAACTGAGCCCCACCCACAATGTTATGTACTGCTTTTATCAAAATCTGCCACCCTATCGTACATATTTCACTGTGACATGTATGCCCTGGTAGGATGATGAGTATATATGGGCTTTGTATATTTGTATCTCAATGTTACTTTGGCGGTGAGTTTCTTTCTCATTTAGCTATAATAATAAGATACAAAATGTATTTGAATCCTAGATAATTGTTCTGAATTCAGTTTGATTCTATTTATCTACTCAAAATATTGATTTGGAACTGTTGTATCCTTAAAGAAGTTTACAAACAGACAAAGGTGATCTTCAAGTGAAAGAACAGCAACACACACTTAGATGAAAGAAGAGAGGCTCAGGCAAAAATTCCCCGTAGACTCTATATACACGAGTTTGGGTAGCTGTCTACCACCCCAGACAAGACTTTGCCCTTTGGCATAGCCCTGTCTGGGTTCCTCTCTACCCGAAGGCAAAGAGTTCAACCAGCACAGCTGGAGATGAATCTCCAACAAATTGCCAAAGCAAAGTTATTTACCTTACCTCCCTGTGAAGGAGGATAGAGGCACAAGGCCATTTTGTAATGCAGGGTAAAATCGAGCCTGTAGGATCAGGCAAAAATTCCCCATAGTCCCTGTAAAAAAATGGGGTCAGGTTGCCATCTACCACCCCAGACAAGATTCTGCCCTTTGGCATAACCTCGTCTGGGATCCTCCCTGCCCGAAGGCAGAGAGTTCGCCCATCACAGCTGGAGACAAACCTCCAACTAATTCCTGAAGCAAGCCCCCATGTATATCCTATGCTCACTATATATAGCTACTGATATAGTCAGTCCAAATAGGTAATAGGGAGTGTGGGATATTCCATTACAACAGAAACAAAACTTCATAGCTTTCTTCAATAGGTGGTTCTTTTACACGTGATCTGGCTTCATAAGTGACTGAAATTTATAACATGAATTTTCTGAAAGATGATATTTCAATGCATCTTTCTGTACAATTCATGATTGAATTGTAAAGATTTAAATGTTTTTATGTAAAAAGTGAAAATGGAGAAAAACATGATGAATTTTCATTTGAAAGGAGAAACCACAGTACAAACAGCAAAATGGTAGGT